CGTTATTCTTTAATTCTTGTTTACGCGATATTCTTTCTTTTGTTTTACGAAAAGTAATTAATCACGCTGTACAATGTCTGGATTAAATTATTACTCTGGATACTATTCGCAAGGTTATCCCCTGATTATTTATAACATCTCCGAAATTCCACAGAAGCCGAAGATCGTGTCGATCAGCGCAGGACGGTTAAATGGCAATTTTATAATTAGAGGCTTTACAACCAATCTCCGGTGGTGTTCGCGCTGATTACAGGCTTGAATTTCGGGTATTTTTATCGTGCACAATTGATTCGCGTTCGTGATTTAACGATAAGGGCGCGAACGAACTATGTTTCTTCATTATGATTACATCCACAATCACGTTACTCCCAGCTACAATGGCGCAGAATCTCCATGAGAGAATCAAAATTAATCACATTCGCGTTCAGAGCTGAATCTCACTCGGCGAGATGATTGCTATCTCGTGCCGGAACGAGTCCTTCCTCGTTACAAGAAAAATCGGAATTGGCTCTCGGTGCTTCGGAGTTCGTTACGTCAAAAGATTTCAATTCGATTGCGCATTCGATTATTCTTATTCCAATTAAAATTAAATATTATCAGATTTGCGCTTCCATTGATTTGAGTTTCCACGGCTCGAAATAAAAACTTTCGATACATTTATTTGTATTATTAATAATAACACGCGTATGTTGCTGCTTCATCTCAATGAACCACCTTCGAATAAATTTCGGACGATTCCGAACTGGCGGTCGAGATTCACCGTGATACCCGCGATTAATCATCGCGGGTGGATGGGGGGGGGAGGGGAAGGGGGTCCCTGATATACAACGCTTAAAGATTTCTGGCGAAAAGAGGGAGAGAAACGGTAGACTCGGCCGGTCGGCCCCAACCGGCCATCCGTACCGCGGCGCCATTTTTTTGCGCCATCCGTTATAATTGCCGGGGCCTTGTCACTTTTGCCGTGGCGCGGGGCCCCGCAGTGAGGTACCTGGTACGTGAGTTGCCCCGTGCCCCCGCGCTCTTGTACCGAGGGCGGCTTTCTCAAAGGGACGAGAGAAGGGGACGCGAGGGGAGTGAGATGCGCAACGAGCGGAGGACCAGAAACG